AATACCTGTACTAGCATCAGAGAAAGAAACATGACATGCAGTACCAAGAGAGACTGTAAAGATACTTGATTCCGGGTGGATAGAAGGCTCGTTATCAGAGTGTCTAGGCAAGTGTCTAAAAGGATTGTAGAAGTGGAACATGGGACGTTTACACCGATAGTCCTATCAACCACTGGGGGTATGGGAAGGGAAGCTAATAAGTTCTTCAAGAAATTAGCGGATAAACTTTCTAGGAAATCAGGCCAACGATATAGTGAGGCAATGACATTTAATAGGAAGAGAGTAAGATTTGACCTTTTGAGAACAACAGTCATAGCTCTTAGAGGAGTGAGAGGGTTAAAAAGTAGTAGTGCAGTATAAATAGCAGAATTAGATATAAATTTGGAGCCAGTTCTTTAAACTGGCTTACTTATACTACTTAAAGGGTGTTCATGTTTATTTAGTTTTCTATTGAATTTATATTGAATTTTTATATAGGGTAATTGTTATATTATGTGTATATTGTTTGAATAATATTAGGATACAACTTGAGCATCGTATAACCTCAGCTTTCTTTCAAGGGATATTTTCTTACCGGACAACCATACTTTTTCAAAGTTCTTAAAAGAAATCTCAGCTAGGATTCTCCTTCTTTGAATGTCCTTCTCAGTACACAGTAAGGAACCTAGTGACTTGTTACTTTGCCATGGTTCGTTATTAGCTAATGGCTGACCGTTTGTGTCTTTATCAGATTGTTTCGCCAGGTAGAAGGTACTGAATTCAGTTTTATTTTCATTTACTTGGAGGTTCCAGTCTTTGAGAATCTCCTTCACTGCAGGAAGGAAAATTCTCAGTCTCTCGATGTCCTCGTCAGCAAAGTCACAATCGTCTGAATATTCCTACTCAGTTGGAAAACCTAGTTCTGATACTGGTGGGTTTGGTCTCCCAGATACAGCTCTGAGGTGGTGTAAGGCTGCTGCAAGAATAAGTGTGAATAGCTTTCCAGATAAACTGTCACCTTGAAAGGCTCCGAGTAAACTTTCAAACTCTTCCGACAGTGAGGAGTTAACACGAACTCTAAGGAGAGTATTCGATAGAAGGTATTGAACTAAGCGAATGTCGTCCTCGGAACAACCAGCATCTTTCAAAACATTGATGGTAGTGTCCCTTTTCACGGTATCAAAAGCTCTACTCATATCAATACCCATTTTGCTAAATGTCCATTTCTTCCTCATCACAACAGATATGAGCATTCTCTGAGCCCACACAATGTCAGAGCAGCTTCTACCTCTCTTGTAAGCACTTTGCCATGGCATGGTGTAGTTGTCAATTCTACTCTCAACCCGTTTTAAGGCAATTTGAGTGAGCATCTTCCTCGATCCGTTCAACAGTGTAAGTGGTTTAAGGCTTGTGAGGGGACCTTTAGGTTTACAACTATTTTAACAATTAAAAGTGTCACCCGTTAATTAAATCCTTGATGCAATAGATAGGATAATCGTCTCACCCTCTAGGTAAACTAAGATTTGACTTATTGAGAACAGCAATTATTGCTCTTGCTTAGAAAAGTAAGAGGGATAAAAACAAAAAAGTGGTAGTGCAGTTAAAATATAAGATTTAGACATAAATTTAGAGCCAACAAATTGAATCAGCTACTTTTACCACTTATTAAAGGGTTTTTATAAAATTTGGCTCTCACTAATTCGGTCGCCCAAAAATTTCACGTGACTTTGGTTTTTATTGTTTTGCAGCCGTACAAAACGGTTTTACATAATATATAAACCCTAATCCCAACCCTAACCCTAACCATAACCCCGAAGCAACAATCCATAACCCTTACCACAACCCTAACCCTAACCCGAGCCCTAACAATCGAATTCATGTTTTACTAGCCTGTCACCTGACCAAAACGGTTTTTTGCCCTTAACTCTCCAGGGAAGCATGATTCGGAATCAGCGTCCAAAAATACACCGATTCAGATAAATTTTTGTACCCAAAGAGCCTTTTCACAATCTTAAAATTTGGGCGAGCGATTTGGTAGGAGTGATAAAATTTACTCAGATTTTTATTGAATTTTTATATTGAATTTTTATATAGGGTCATTGCTATATCATGTGTATATTGTTTGAATTCCTTTTTATAAAAAAGGTGATAAGATATCGTTTAAATATGGCCGGCACGGAAACGTTTTCACACTATATACATGTGACGAGTAAATATGGATCCCTTGCTGCTGTGTTTGACCAAATTTTCGAGTGTCCAGTTGATAGGATGGGTACACATGACCATTACCTACATATTAGATGACTTTTTTGTTAAATGGTGCGCCCAGGTTTACTCTGTCACACATTTATGAAAATATATGAGTTATATTTAGGGCACCCTGACAAGGAATGCTGAGTAGTATGGGATTACTTTTATTTATAAAGTATATGAAGAGAACGAAAAGGAGAAGAAGGATGAGTACTTGGAGAGAGTGTTGAACGTAGAGAAGGCCACTTTCACCCCAGCAGTATTTCTCACAACTGGAGGCATGTCCAAAGAATGTAAGCGGTTTCTAAATAGAGTGGCAGACCTCATCGCCGGGAAAAGAAAAGAGAGGTATTGCGATGTGGTAAGACATGTAAGGACAAGAATAAGATTCGCTATGTTAAGAACCACACTCATAGCTCTTCGAGGGTACAGAGGAAAAAAATGGACAGCAAATATGAGACACCACTATCAGAAGTCTCTTATAACCTCATCCCTGCCCCTATGATGGAGTAGATGTGTATATATCTGATTGTTGATATTTAATATTCCTAGCAGGAACCCGTCAAACCTTTAAGACTGGTGTCAAGGCTCTTTGGTGGCCGGATCAGTTTCCTACCCTAAAGTCTCCCAGTAAAAATAATTATTACCTATTTAATTCGCGTTTTTGACACCACTTGGGGGTCCAAATTTTGGGTACTAAAATTCTTATTCCTTGGCCGATTTTCGATTTTTTCATGCTGATTTTAAGGCTATTAAAGCATTTGAATCAGTTAAAAAGTTTCAGTTTTATATCTTGTACGGTTTTTGCGGAAACCCGTGTTAAAGTTGATGCCGTGGTGTCAGTAAAATGGTGCGGATAAATAAATATATACAGGGTGGGCCAAAATTCAGTACCCATACGTTGGCCTTAATAGCTCCGCCGTGTTTTATATTTGAGAGCTGTTGCTTTGCAGATGGCATACTGTACTTACTGGTTCGAGGATTCCGTCGTCAAAATTTGAAAATTCGAATATTTTAGACCACGCCCATTCATTATTAAAACACCTATATTGTTTTCTCTGAACATGCTGAACGCCTGATTTTTTCAGAGACGGTAGATTATCAAATGTTGCATATGATCTGAAAACATGAGGCAAAACGGATTAGAAATGACGAAGTTATCAAGCATTTTCTGTATCTCGTTAACAATATTGACTGGGTGATTATGTGACACCGTGATACGACACCTTAATTGGGCACCCTTAATAATTCCCATAATGTTTAACGGGGTAGTTAACGGGGGAACATTATCACGTGATTAGGTAAACCAATCACCTGATCACACGTAATGAATAAACTCGTTATGCTTCATATCTCGGTCATCTGAGAAGCTACAGTTCTAATTCTTTCAGGACAAACGTAATTCGAATGGCCAAACACAATTCAATAACATTTAGCTTGATCCGACTATCCAAACTATCAAATAAATGTGAAAATGAACCTCCATTTGAAAAAAATGAACGCGAATATTTTTCGAGTTGAAAAATTCCTCGAACCAGTGGTGGTACTAAGTCATACCAGAAAGAAGTATTTAAATTGGGCACTCAGTGACTGAGCTATAAAGGCCAACGTATGGGTACTGACTTTTGGCCCACCCTGTATATATATATATATCGTCTCGCTTTATATATAGTAAGATATAATATTGGTAACAGTGGAAAATTTCCGTTACCTCTGTATTGTGCTCTGCCAATTGCAACACTTGAATTACTTTATTGTATATATACTGTTTGACACTTTTTCTTTTATTTATAACCTGGAAGTGCTGGAAATTGTTATAATATTTATAAGTCGCAAGCAAAGAGCACACATCAGGCACAAATAAGTTTACTTTGTCACATAGTCTTGATGATATCTACACATGTTTGAAATTGAGCAAATATTGATGTACTATCTTAAACACCCTACATTACGTACTGGATCAATCAACACTATTACAACCACGCACCATACCAGTCACATACATTATTCTGTGGTAGTAATATGTTTTCAGTGTCACAATTGAAACATCGCAACATGGTAAAAATAGGTTCTTATTATTATGGTTGAAATTGAATTATATAATTAAATTGTTTGTCTATACTGTCACATTTTTAGTGACTTAGCCAAATTTAACTTAACATCGTTAAACTTGAGCTTTGATTTGCTGGACAATAATCTACCAATAATGTGTAAAAGAATATTGAATTCTAAAAGAGGTACAATTCTTCCAAATAGGGACAATAAATGTTGACTTCGTCACATCATTTTTGTGACTATGTTAACTTCAACTGCCCCTTCTTGAATCAACTGTATCAAAAATAAAATAAAAAGATTGTGTTTCAACTAATTTTGACTGTGTCGTTACGAATATGATACGTCATGATTGATGATTGGCTACAGCCTACATTAAATCTCACTCTTTCACTACTCATAAATTTGGCTGTAATTCATATTTTTTGATGCAGTACTTATAACTTTGAACAAACTTGATTTTAAATTTCCTCTAATATAACTTTCAACTAGCAGGTTTTCTAGTTTATGCATATACCATTCTTTAATTGTTATTTTTAAAACAATTTTTTTTAATACAATGTACTTGGATAAATTGCTATAGAAAAGAAGGAGCTGAGTGATATGAATATAAAGGCAGAAAACAAATGTGATCTATATTCTAACTTTACAGTTATTATATACTCTGGCCAAGACATGATTTTAAATTTCATTATACAATTAATTATTCATTTAAATTTAGGAATTATGGAGAAGCAGTTCACAATCCCCCCTCTTCGCCCTGCTACCACAATGAAGAAAGCCCCTGAGCCTGGCCCATTTGGTGTTCTTGACACCATGAGGTACAATTAAATTTGAGATCAGATTACATAGTGGAATAATTAAGTGCAACCATTTTCAAATCTATGCATTAAAATGTTTGGATGGAATTTTTGATTTATATGTAAATTTTAATACTTTCAACACTACTATATAACAAATAATTTGAGATTATGTGACTGATTAAATGCTGAAGATAAAAGAAATATATTCATTTTGCTAAGATTATGTTTGCGTTTCATTGCTCAACAGCTGTTCGAAGGATCAAATTTAAGATTATGTAAATTTGTTGAACTATAATGATAATGCGTACATGCTCATGCTTGTGTATGACTGAATTTTCTCCTAGAGTTGGCTTGGTGAATCAGAGATCAGAGATCACCACAAAACACCCTCTTGAGCAATCAGAACTGTTCTACGAGCTTAACCAGCACCGTATTAAACTGGGAATGTCTAACAGTATTAGTGGTTCTGCTCTACCCATGACAATCCAAGCAGAGCGAGCTAGTGCAGCTCGGGTAAGATTTTAACTTTTGATCAAATCAGGTTTAAATGGAATGGGTCTTTATTTTCGAGCTTAAAATGTCTTTCATTCTGGTTCAAACCATTTTCTTACCGTTATGTGTAATATTGTATCATTATTAAATTTACTGTAATTAATTATTGTTTAGGTTCCACATGACAAGTAATCAATACTTTACTCCTTCATCACTAATAACTTCAACTTTTCTTACTTCACATAGTGCATGACTGATGATACAAATCTTATCGTCTATCTAACTTAAAAAGTTCAGATTTATTCCTAATCACTTGCACCATAATCACGAGCTCTCATAAACTCACAAACTCGTTACTTTATTTCAAGTAATATTGTGCCAACTCAGATTGGCAGACTGCCAGGAGTAGCGTCCTCATACCTCCACCTCGAAGTGTTCGCCGGGATGGACGAGGACTTGGCAATTGAGGACTTGTTCGATGGTCCCAGCCCCTGGGAGGACAGTCCCCAACACTCCAGATGTAATGCCACTGCTTAGATGTGCGGTTAAATAACGATATAAACATGAAGACTGTTGTTATGAGATTGTAATGTATTTATGATTTCAGGTTTGAACTTCAGGCTGGTCCTTCGACAATTTTTTTTCTATACATGTGGTAAAATTGCATACTGTATTTGCTTACAACCTACAAGAACGCTAATAAATCATTAAAACCTTGTTCGCTGTCATCCGATCCGGGAAGGATATTTTGGTGATTAGTCAACAAAAGTACTGACTAATGTTCGTTAAATACTTAGATTATCTGAGTTTCAATATATAATATTACATAGAAGTTAACTTGTTATCAGATTGTGCTTCACTGCTTCCTTCATTTTATGTTACTAAAAATAACTCAAGTACACTCTATTAAAAATTTACCATACTTGAAAGTCCTTTCAAAACAACATATCAAATAAAGATTTCTTCTTCCATACCAACAGTATCCCTCGCAAATCATTACACTATATCACATATTCTAGAATGAAATGTTACTACGAAGTGTTAGGAATAGAGCGCAACTCAACCCCTGATCAGATAAAGAAAGGGCACAGGAAGCTAGCGCTTAAATGGCACCCTGACAAAAACAAGGACAATGAAGAAGAAGCGCACAAGGTATACCAGGTAATACAGGAGGCGTACGATTGTTTGAGTGACCCCCAGGAGAAGGCATTTTATGATAAACACCGGGAACAGATACTGAGGGGAGGTGGGTTTAGTTATAATTAATTAATTAATTAATTAGTTATTTAATTACTGTTTTTATTAATTGTTATCAATATCATCATGTTAAATAAGTTAGTGAACGATGAAGACTTGATTCTTGAACTGCGGTTTTTTAATAATAAGTTAGTTATTAACATCATGTTATGAAGTCATTTATCCCATAACGGACAGTATGAGTAGTGAAGTTGCTTTGTTGGCAACGAAAGCAATCCCGGTAAAAACGGTCAACTTTTTACAAAATGTTTGCAGGGTCAGATCACAAAGATGAGCAGATTAATGTTATGGGTTTCTACGGTTCGTCTTGTTACAATGGCTTTACTGATGAACCAGATGGCTTTTACAATGTTTACAACGACCTCTTTGTTCAAATAAGCCAAGAAGATCAGAGGTATGTTTTGATTCACGAATTTTTGAAGGTAATATTTAACAGCGATATATCTCTTATCGTTTGAAGGTTTGATTAGAATAATGAATATTTTACAGATGAAAGATAAGCAATTTTCTTCAGAGTGTAAAATTTCCATGATTAGAAAACGTTTTAAATGCGCTACTTTAATAAAGTTCTCTATCCTTTAAAATAATTTATAATTCGACGGGCAAGTCAGGCATTTTCAAAGTTATCAATATTGACGATTAATTAACTAATGGAATAATTAATTATCAGGTACGTGGAGGCATCAGACTGGGAGGATCCCCCAAACTTTGGTTCATCAGATACTGAGTTTGAGGACGTGAGGCAATTCTACGGATGGTGGCAGAGTTACTGTACCAAGAGAAATTACATGTGGTTAGACGATCTCTACGATATACGACAGGTCTTTGTTTTATTCTTTTTCCCCTGTTATTTGGAATAGTTGATTTCTGTTAATTATGCTTAATTGAATATCAAAGTTTTTGAGTGTAAAAGGATTGCACTTAGCGGTCCCTCCGGACAAATTAGATGATTTTAGAGGATACGCCGGTAAAATCTGTAAAAAAATGTGTTTCTAAAGTACCGTAGTTAAGTTTTTCCAAATTGTCCCACATTCAAACGACGATTTTGGCGCCCCCCTAAGATGGCACACACCCCCCCCCCCAGCGGGGTCGGCGGGGCCCTTCGTTACGCCACTGGGCCCTCGCACTGGTTTACTATTTGTATACCTTTAGGGAATTTGAACACTCTCTAAGTTTATATTCGGATTACAACTACTTTTGAATTATTGAGCCAAAGCCGAGTTTTGACTAATTGATCCAGGCAGATGGAAGGCGTATATTACGTGCTATGGAAAAAGAGAACAAAAAGTTTGTCGACGAGGCTAAAAAGGAGTACAACGAATCAGTGAGAAGTTTAGTATCGCACATTAAGAAGAAAGATCCAAGGTGTTTGGCGCAGAAAGAAAAACAGAGGGTTTTAGAAGAAGAGAGATTGGTTGCCGAGAAAAAGAGGAAAGAAGATCAGAGACGAAAACGTGCAGAGTAAGTTTGAATCTATTGAACCTATTTGTTTGTGTGAAATTTCAGAAAAACAAATAGAAAAACAGTTTAGGGTCGGGTATTTTTACCTCATAAAACAAAATATCATATTACTTAATCCTTATAATTTATTTTGTTCAGAGAAATAGAAAGACTGAAAGAACAGGAAAAAGACAGTATTGCTGAACATGAGCAGGTCAGTACATAAGATTATAATTGATGCTTAGTCATCTAAGTGGTTCTCTCCTAGATATTTTGTTTATTATTATAATTATATGAATGTTGAACCCTATCTACAGGGACCAGGGTACTGATGAACGAAAGTTCCCTCACAACTTCAGTAATATATTGCCAGTGAAGGGTCACAACTTCTTAGATTAGATAACGTAACGCGCCTTTACAAATAGTTGTCCAGACAACGTTTTCTAGCGTTTAACGGGCGCGCACGTACGTCGAATTAATATAATCGCCGCGCGTACGCGATCGACGTGCAAGCCTGCATATATTCAGTATTCAGCTACTCACATCGTACTGAGCTACATGTGCTCCTTGAATGGCACATGGTCGATATTTTAAGCCAAAATTAGTATGACACTGAAAGGTATGAAGGTTCTGATGTAAGTGGCTAACGTACGACCGTTCTCAGCAATGTGTACAGTCACTCTCATCACATTACACATCCCCAATCTTGCGACCAAGGATGGTGTTAAGAAATTTGTCTTATTAAGCGACTTCTCTGATGAAGCGGTTAAAAACGCTAGTAAGCTCTTTGTGAACCACTCAAATCCTGTGTGGAAAACTTGGAAGCATTATTTTATGTAATTAAAGCCTGTTAAGTACTAACATACTGCTTATAACCAACACCTTATAATGTTGTAAAGATTGTAATTTTCAGCAATTGGATGGGTTATTGAACGAGTTTTCAGACAGCGAGACGGAAGAGGACCCGTTTTATTGTCCGCTGTGCAAAAAGCTTTTCAAATCAGATAAAATGTGAGTAATTGAACTAAATTTTTATCGGTCACTGTGACATTTTAAATTATGATCATGATACTTTGTAAGTTGTTTTATTGTACGTATCCTGTGAATATGCAGTCTGTACGATTCAGTATATTAATGAATTATCAATTTCAGGATGAAACAACACGAGAAGTCTAAAAAGCACAAGGAAAAACTTGCAGAATTACAGGGAGAATTTGCGTCTGAGTTGAAAGCTGCAGGTCTCTCCCAACCGTAAGATTAAAACTTCAATTTTTACCTCTAATTATTTGTTGAATGTAACGTTATAAACTACAGTATACTAGAACGGAAGAACCAATATAATTAAAAAACGCAGGAAATAACAATTTTAACAAATACTTTGAATTCAAATATGAAAAAAAGAGTCAAGGTTGGGCAACCTCACAGTATCTACTCGCAATGAGTTGGACACCTCCAAAGCACCAAGGTTGCCATTAACTTCGCAAAGTTCAAATCTACTGGGATTTATCGACGGCTCTACTTCAGTTCTTCTCATGAAGCTCCATGCCAGTCGAGCTCGAGCCTCAACATATTTCCGTGTAGTAGGATGGGATGCGACGTATATCAGAGGATTAATCACACCGGTTGTATAAAACACTGTTACAGTCAATATTTGTGACACCTCATAGCTATGTGGTATGTCCCATATGCTTGTGATTACTGTCGGAGAGTAAGCTAGCAGACCCGTTATTATTATACCGGAAGCAGTCACCAGGAAGCGACCACTGAGTCGTCCGGTGCTGACGATGACGAAGAGGATAGTGCCGTACATGACAAGGATGAGGAAAAACGGGACAGATATAAAGAAAGCTAGAATCATACTTGTCCCCGACATTCGACATCGGTAATATCTGTTATCGTATTCTATCGTGATTGAGCCTGTTTTGTAAGCCACTATTTCGTAGAGCAGTAGCGCGAGAATGGGTAGCCAATTTGCTACAAACATGATCACACAAGTTGTCTTGGTAATAATAGAATTGTGTCGGAGAGGCAACATGATAGCTATTGCTCTGTCGAAGGTGAGAGGAAGCAGGGCCAGCATTCCTGAGCTTCCCAAACTTTGTAGAGCTATCGTGTACACCTCACAGAATAAAGTAATATTCGTACTGTCAGATGCTCCAACAAACTTGCTGTTTATTATCCCTAGTCCTCTGAAGAAGCCGAGGAAAGACACCAAAACGTCACTGACAGCCACGTTTATGATTAAAAAGTTCTGACAGTTGGCCAGTCGGATTTTGCGGGAGAGAAGAAAGTAAATCACGGAACTGCTAAAGAGGATTCCGAGGAGTCCTATAACCGCCAGCACAGAGCCCTGAGAATACGTGCGTTAACCAACAAAGAAAGAAAGGAAAAACAAGCAAACGTTGAAATGAAGCTTGATAAAATTATAACGTCTGTTCTAACTCGAATTGGGCCACAAATAAACAAATTGTACATATCTGGGACATCTCTGCAGAGAGACTATTCATATCACTCACATTCACCGTCCTAAAGAGGCAAACAGGGTGGGTCTGGGTAATACAGGGGTGGTCTTTAATGTTGAACTCCATGATTCATCTACATAATAGCTACATAATAGGGTATGTTAATTATTCGGTCACATGTTAATTTGTGTGCAAAAAAGGAGGTAAGGTTTGCTATTCAAGATAGTTCTAAACAATCAGGAGATAAGAAACTTCGTTAAGCATATCACCGAATCGCGGTATCATAACTTCATCAAATAAATGTTGGTAACTGACTTGGTGATCAGATTTTTTAATGACTATTACAAGTAGAAAGCCTGGCTTAACACTTAACAGGACCGATGGTTTCTATAGTGTCAGGGCCAGAGCGTGGCAACCAGATAACAATCAGCAAACTGATGATAGAATCAGAACCGTATTGTATTACAAAGTGGCTTGAGAGGAGCCCCACTTGATAATCCTGCGGAGCGGGTCAAGACATCATCAGCTGTTTAAGTCAGTACGTGTATGTTACGATCGCTTTGTCTCAATCTTATTGAGGTCTTTGAGCGAACAAAACGTTCACATAATTTACCGAAAACTTCCGTGCCCTATAAAAGTAAAGACTGCACTGAACAATGAACATTTGTAATTATTATCTTAAACGGTGCGACTAGTTCAGGGACAATAGCATCATATTTAAGTCTGCCACAAGTTAATTTATAAATAAAAAGGATACCGACAAATGAGATTGACCTTGCACCCCATAATGAATTTATAATCTGGTCTGTAGTAACATAACAATGAATTAACTCAACCTAATCGAATAGAACTTCCGTTAATTTGGTCACGTGACCGTGTACAGATCAATACACCCACATAATTAGGGGCCTAATCGGGCAGTAACATTGGAGCCCCAAGAAATGCATAATGTAGCAATTATTAATAGTAGGTGTTGTAACCATAAGTCACTTTTAAGAATATCTTTTCAAGTTACACACCATAATAAACAAGGCCTCCGTATATAATCCTAAATATTAAATAAGCTCGAGCAATCAGCTACAGAGTAACACACGCGTCATAATTTGATCATCAGCGCCAGAATTATAGATTTATGATCAGTGCACGCTCCAGAATTGCTCTAAACATAATGTTACCAGTAATTTGTTAACTCGACATTCTTCTGATTATAACACAATATGTTTCTTCAGACTTGAAACGAATGACGCCCCCACGCCGTCAACAAAGAAGAAAAAGAAGAAGAAAAACAGAAGGCAGCAGGCATGGGAAGAAGAGGAAGATTTGTATGACGTTTCCGAACTTAAAGGAGAAGAATCGTAAGTGATTACAGCGAGCCAGTGTTTTGATCTTATATAACCACAACCACCTACGTCCTACAGCGCCATTTACGCCTACTTGAAGTCTATCTTCTTCACATGGAAATCAAGTTTTTACAATTTTAGGCAAAATACTTAAAATTCACCAGTTCTTAATTTCAGGGTTTCCAACGAGTTATCAGAAGCTCTCAAAGACTGTAACTTAAATGAGGTAGATTTGAAGGTGGAAGAAGTGGGGATGGAGTCTGAAGACTTGTTAGTCAGTGAGTGAGATACAAATTCATTGTTGCTACCAGGAATCTAAATCGTAGTATAATTTAAAAAGGGCAACATTCGAAGAAAAAACATACTAACGTAAAACAATATTCCAACAGATATCACCTCTAACGAAAAAACTTCTCCTGAAAATATCCCCGCTGGCGCTAACAGTAAAGAAGATGTGCCCTCAGAAAAGACGGGCGGACCCCCGAGACCGAGTGATTATGCCCCTGAGGAGGAATGGAGAGAGTACATGAGCTATCACTACACTAACGAAGAGACTACTGAGTGCGGTGTCCCTGTCTTAACCAGACCAAGAGGCGAAATGTTAGTACCGTTGGTTTTCTGTGCAGTTATTGTCTATACGTTTGGTCGTTTACATGGCTAAAAGGATGAAACCGTGCCAGTATTTCAGTTCATAATCATTTTTACGGCATACAATTACGGTGCTCCTCCAAAATAATAAAATCAATCTAACAACTTTAATATCCCTCATCAGAGAAGAGTCGGCGTCACAAAACATCGAGTCAGACTACACCATAATCAGTACAGCCCCACCTGCTCAACCTACTCCCGCCGCTGGTCCCAAGAAAGCGGCGTGTAATATGTGCGGTGCAGACTTTCCGAGTAAAACTAAACTTTTCAATCACTTACAAGAAACCGGACATTCTATAAAGAAAGAGTTTGTTGAAAAACCGGTGGCAAAACCAACGGGGAATAAGAAGGGAAAGAAAGGGAGAAGGAGGTGACCCAAGGAAGTCGTCTAATCTTTTAGATTTATAAGAGTCTGTAACGTGTTCCTTTCAAGCAGGTTTTAAACCAGGGAGTGCTGTTTTTAGTATATTTGCAGGTATAGTAGTAGTTTCACGACGAATTTATGTTTGTTGGTTTCAGTCCAATTTTTCTAAGTTAAGTTGTTCACCTTTACATAAATTATTCATCTCAATTTATGCAATTCAGACTTCAATTTCAGGCACCTCTTTATTTTCTATTTAATTGTGTCTGTCATTGTGAAATTCTCATTTTAAATATTTTGCCCATTCTGCAATTTTACTACGAAACTTAAGCGAATTTCCTCCAAAAATGAATCCTGTTTCATCATGTTTACTTAATAAGAAACACACAGATTAGCATAATGTCCGGTCCCAGAGCCAGAGCAATGCAGATAACCCTTCAAGGTATCAGAGAGATAAACCTTGCCTTCTGCCCTTTTGACAGATATGCCGGTACTTGGGAAGTCAGGTATGTTAATATATGAATTTACCCCGTTATAACCCCCAGTGGCTAAAATATAAAAAGCGACTAGAAATATGTTTTAGACGGAAAAAGTGGCTATACATTTTTCGGTCGCCCCGCGGCGGGGTGACTATTTCATTATGTTTCACCCTTAATTCCATACCATACTGTATCGTGCTTTGCTGATTACGTTACTGAGGTATTATTAGTTATTCGTTAGTTATTCATAATTGCCAAACAAAAATGGGAATAAAATGATCGTCGTCGAGCCCAAAACCCGTATTCTGCATATTGGAGGAGAAGGCTCTAACCAACTAAGCCACACGGTCCTGTTCAAGAGTGTAATATTTATATCTGTAAACACATGGAATTTTCATTGGCAACTATAACATAGTAACATAGTATTAGTATAGTAACAATACGGAGAACTAAATGACATACAGTCCCAAAGCTGGCAAAGCTGGATTTTATTATCATTTCATTGTTTAATGTTTATGCTAATCATGTGATGTCTTTTAACGCTGATTGAACACTTTCTCATCACATAATATTGTAAAGGTAATCAATTATAATTAAATTCAGCGAAATTGACACAATGAGGGTGTGCACTGTGCATGACGTCATTTCTATTCAACTCAAGTTTTGCTTTTAATTTAATAAGCTCTCACATCCACAGAAGCAATTTTTATTATCTAGATTAAAGCAAGAGTTCCCATCAGGGGGATGGAAAGATGGAAGCTTAAGTCTAATAAACTTCCTAAGAATTACTCAACAGTCAACTGCTCGCAGAATTATACATAATATGTAATATGTGTATTGTATAACCCGTAGTGTAATCACATGGTCCGGATCCGTGGGACACTGGTGAGCAGCCTGATTGGCTCTGAGTTTTGGTTAATTCCTTTTTTACATTTTAGAACAATGATATATAAAATGAAAACGAAGTTACTCGGAATTATCACAATATATCATATCAGGCTGACTACAACATTAAAATTGTGATTAATAAGTTTTACGTTAATGTATTTTGAATGTCAGGGCCATCGTACATCACGTAGACAACGAGAGTTGCTGCAGACAGCAGTGTAGCCTGCCGTTGGAGGATTCTCAGGAACTTTGTCGAGGGCAGTATTCACAGATATTTATGTTCAATCGAAAGTGTTCACAGATTATGGCAGTAGTTTCCATAATTTTGCAGCTTTGACAGAAAACGGGTTCTCATACATGGTCTTTATGTAGAAAGGGCAGTTCTTAGCAAGTGGATGTATTCTTGCTTTGGTTCCTAGGCGATCATTTCAATGTTATTTGTGATTTTGCCATTGAGGCATTTTCAATGATGTATCTCTCTCTTCTTCTTTGGAGGGATGGGAGGTTGAGGATTTTTAGTTTCTCCCAGTAGTCCAAGTTCTGACAGCCTGATATCCTGCGGGTGAAGGACCTTTGAACTGCTTCCAGTGCTTGGAATTCGTGTACCGTGAGGATGAGTGCCCAATACAATTGAAATAATTCTTTCTGGTATGACTTACTACCACCACTTGTTCGAGGAACAAAATGCTTGATAACTTCGTCATTTCTAATCCGTTTTGCCTCAATGTTTCAGATCAGATGCAACATTTAATAATCTACCGTCTCCGAAAAAATAGGCGTTCAGCATGTTCAAAGAGAAAAATATGAGTGTTTTAATATTGAATGGGCGTGCTATAAAATATTCGAATTTTCAAATTTTGGCGACGGAATCCTCGAACAAGTAGGTACAGTAATTGCCGTCTGCAAAGCAACAACTCTTAAATATAAAACACGGCGGAGGTATGTACTATTTATCCGATCCAGGGACTAGGGAAATAGTTCGTCTAATAAATTTACTTTTATCAACATGATTAAAGTTGTGATATAGTTGTATACTGAATGTTTGAATTTTTCTCTATCAAATTAGGTTTTTACCGATATCCTGGAATAGTTCTCCGTGTCAAACGAAAATCTGAAAATTCCACAAACCCTTAGTCCTAGTCCAGCATTTCTTGGTGGCTCTAATTCCGTCGGTGGTCAGTCCCCATGCGTGGTACTTTTCGGCGGGTATTGGGTATTTACGACTCACTTGGAAGTTGGATCATAACTATTCGGAAGTCGGAACTTCTCGGCGTAGTACGCCCGTAGGTTTACCTTACCAAAACCTGGGGTAACTTTATTTAGAAAGGTGGTTCTATTAGAGATCTCAAGTCATATGTGATCCCTATTTTATTATGTTTAATCTGTATCATGGGTTTTCGATTTAGAATTAGTCTGAGCTGTAATTCGTAGTGTGGCTTTGTACAACGTGAACCAAATTTTTAAAGCTACAACTTTTACATCCTTACAGATAAAAATCCTCCGGATTTTTATACAATGTCATCAGGAGATCAGGAAAAAAGGCACAATATTTCAGAAAGTTTCTTATGAAAACTAAAAAGGGGGATCAAATAACAGGAAAAGAGAAAACTGCAGCTACTCACAGCTGGGATTGTTAAAGGAGGACAGATCAGTACACTTCATGCTGATAGACTCCTTGCCCCTAGTAATGGAGCAAACTTTTTACTTGTACAATGCAATGTACATCACCCCACATGCACAGTAATCTACTCTATTACCCGGAAAATGTTCTGAGATAGTTGAATATTATGATTTGAGGCAGGGTCGCTGGGGTCTGAGGGATTATTCAGTAAGGTATCGCGTGGATGCCATTCTGTGTCCTCATATTGAAATATTTAAGGGATTGAAATTACAAATATTGCTGGCAAGCACGATTTATTTGATGATTGCAGGATAAGTTGTGCAAGGTAAAACCTCTCCTCAAAGCTTTTGTTCGCAAAGCAACATTTTGGTTGTTTATACAGGGTGGCCTAGCTAAGTAACTACCCACACGCAACCCTTTAATAACTCACGTAATTCGTGTCAGAATTGCTTACAAATTTCAGAGAATATAGATATGGATCAAACTTAGATTTGACCCATAAAAAACGCCACTCCCTCTTTTTCTCTATTGTCACCATAAAGTGAGAATGTTTTGAGTTAGGAACTCCAAAATTTCCAGACAAATTTGGTTTGATAATTGAAGTGCATTTTGCGCGTTTTTTGTCCCAAGAATAAACAAGAATCTAGCTAGATCTTACATGTCATGCGCTCGATTCGAACGTCTTGAGAACCCCTGAGAGCGACTAATTTTAATTTAATTTGAATATTTTTTTGTTGACAAAAATCAGTCAATGGCTATGGAAATATTATGACTAGGATTTAGATTCTTAAATTTCTCACTTTAAGCCACTGGGTTATAACCATCAAAACAGATGTTATGATTGGCTACACTACGATCAACCTGACTTTTTTAAAATACAGTAGAAAACGGTGTTAACTCTGATTGTTTACGGATTGTGATATAACCTTCTGCTTCACTAACCTGGCAATGTTGACAGAGAGTATTTCAACAAAGTCTCCAATCCAGTGGTTAAGAAGAGTAACCCGGAGTGTACTGTTAACATGAAGGTGTTACACGATAACAGTCAGCCTCTAATCCGCGTTCTTTACTGTAAGTTACTTTTATTGCAGTGAGGTGTGAATATTTAGTTAATCATAGACAATCTGACTGAATATTGATTAATAGGGTCCGGGACTCGCCGACTTGAGACTCAACGGCGTGGGATGTTTTGGCGCAAAAGATAAGGGTTAGGGTTAGGTTGAGACAAAATTCTCAGACCCTAGCCTTAACTTTTTGCGTCGGCAAGTCCCACGCCGTCAAGTCCGGGACTCATCGGCAAATTCAGAATTGATTTGTATTTTATTTAAATCCCATATTCTGTTCAGCTGACACAGAAGAGATGACGTACTACCCGCGGACAATGTCCCTGTCCAACATTATGAGGGACATCCACAACACAACCAGACGGAAACTAGCAGACCAGGACATCCCGGTTGACTTTGGTGTCGCGTGGCGGTACTGAGCGGTTGAACTCTTTTGTTGGGAAAATCTCACTCAAGTTGGGATCTTTCGTTAATCTGGTGGCGGATCATGAAGATTGCAAGCCGAATTCCGATGTGAATACTGTGGATGAAGAGTTAAAGATAACTTATGACTTCTGTAAGAGAGTTAGGACAGAGCGAACGATTTTGATTTTGATCGGCGAGGCACTTTTGTTTAATTCAGACCAGGGATTATTTATTGAACTAATTTATTAAGTTTTACTAAGATATTGTCCTTACTGATTGTATTTTTGTATTGATTTGTATGATATAAAAACATTTGTTGCGTCTTTATTCAAACTGCCGCGAACGTCATGCAATAGTTTTACACTCGCGTTATGAAATTATTCAATATTACCAATATAAATACTACATTCCTCACCTCTGCTCTTCCCCCAAGCTAAGGCACCCTTACTCTCACAATGTTTGCTGCACGTCTCTGTTCCCGTATTGCCGTAGCTCGGCCCCTGATCCAGCCCCTGGCTACCGTACAATCCCTTATGGTGAGATCTCTCCATTCCTCTCCCGTCTGTCATGACGAGAGTTTCGAACAGGCTGCCAAGTTCATCGGAGCAGGTAAGCTGGCAGTTTTATGTAATTTGGTTTAATTTGCTGATAATTAAATTTATTTAATCTTGTTGACTCAATAAGATTCGACTACTAGATGTTAATCAGATTTAAAAATCTACTATTTTACTCCCATTGAACGATATGTCCGCTCACAAGTCACAATGGATCCCCCTCTCTCCAGGATGTGCTACAGTTGGAGTAGCAGGATCCGGTGCTGGTATTGGTACAGTGTTCGGTTCCCTGGTAGAGGGATACGCCAGGAACCCCTCCCTCAAGACCCAGCTCTTCTCCTACTGTGTCCTGGGGTTCGCTCTCTCTGAAGCTATGGGATTGTTCTGCCTCATGATTGCCTTTATGATCTTGTTCGCTTTGTAGAGAGTATGGTGGTGCTGTTTTTATAAATTATATAAGTTATAATTAAGTGGTGAAATGGTAGTGGTGACATTGGCTTTGTTTCGGAATATTTTCATATTAAGGGTTGGAATTTATGCTCAATATGTCGTTTTACTGTCTGCTCTTAAGACAACCTGGGACATGGTCGTTTCCGTGATTGTCAGATGATATTTCATCAAAATGAATATAATTAATTTCTTCTCGAACTCTTCGATGTTCTGTATTTCCAATTCCGAATCTTAACAAATTTAACGCAATATAAACTGAGATTTATAAATATCACATAAGCGAAACATTTCCAAAAACCACCTAAACTCTCAACCCCACTTTAGCCATGTCTGAGGAAGGTTTTGTTCAACTGGACGATAAGAAAACTGCTGAGGAGGTAAACGTCATTCTTAGTTATCATTGGATTAAACATTTCTTATTCTATCTAAGTTTTGTTTTAACGTTTTTTGAGATATTATTATGTTATAATAATTACGTTTCAGATAAATGCGGAGTTCCAGAAAGTGCAGACTGATTATTACAACAGTCTTATTGTGGAGATGAAGGAAGATTGTGAGACCTACAGAAAAGCGACCGAGTAAGTACTGAGTCAGCACTAGGAGTAGGAATTAGGAGCCGATCAGATCATTTTTATTTTGTGCCTGATCGGATCTGGAAAACAAAACAGTGCCTGGACCTGCCTTATTGGCTCTTAAAATGACAGAAATAACCATATAATGACAACGCTTTTATTTCTGTTAGATACGAGAATAACACTTATAATTGGGATCATGTGATAAAACATCTCCACTCAGATGCCACGAGTACGCTAAGCTGATGATAGAGCGGCTCCACAAGTTTAAAGAAGGGTTCGAGCAGTTCAAGAAGAACTGTTACGAGTACGAGGCGGGAGCAAGTTGTCATAGTGCGGGTCACATGTTGCTACAGGGGATAGACCTGCCTGACGGGACTACTCCTGTACGTACGTGATTTTGTTACATTCTTTTTATATTTTCTTTGAGAAAATATTAAATTATTTTTAGATGGTAATCGTATGTGACGGGGGAATTATTTATCGTGATTACCTTCAAATATGTGTATACATCGTATTGATTGTAATTCAGATCGAGATATGATTCCTGTATAAAAGGATGTAAAATATCCTATCTCAGTATTTCTGACCTCCCTTCTCTCACACAGGTAGAAAAAGACGTGCCTGCAGCCGCGGACATGTTTGCACGTGCGTGTTCCACCACTAACCCGCGCAGCTGCGTTGCTATCGCTAGATTACTACAGTTCGGGAAATTCGTCGAGAGGGACTACAAAAAGGTACTTTTTATTGATTCAAAAAAAGTCAGGTATCAAAATAAATTAGTATGATTTAATTAGTAACAAAGCAATTGTTTTAAAGATGATATGATAACATTTCAACATATTATTATTATCATTCTGGATCATAAAAAGCGAGTAGTACAGTTTTATAAGGGTAGCAATCTCGGCTTTCCAGTTTCCGGAATAGAACAGAAAACAAACTTCACATTTTATTATCGATAAGTAAAATTTTATGTCAAGTATCATAAAAAAAGTTTCCATAATTAATAGAGAAAGTGTTATCATTACATTCATTAGAAGCCAGATGGGACAACTGACAGCGTTACCAGTTCAAATAGCACTCCCATGTTCAAGCCAAGAGTGTCCCTCCTCTCAGAGTTACAGAACAGCTATCAAATAAGATATGATAAGTAAGCTGGAGACCACAGTCCCCCTGGTTGTTCTCCCTAAAAGCACACACTCTGGCAGCCCCTCACTCCACACCGAGTTAGCATTGCAAGTCAGAACCTCCCACCCCACCAGCTCAAACCCTGGCTCACACTTAAACGTAATCTCACTCCCCACCGTAAAGCTAGCTCCCTGAGGGTTAGGACTAGCTGTGGCTGACCCAAACTTCACAGTAGTCCTCACGTCCTGACAGCCTTTGTAGCACTTAAGAAGAGTACTCGGATCAGGAACCCACTTAGCCACCCCTCCGCTGGAGACACAGCTGACCTGAGAAGCACCGGACGGGTTGGCAGCAGTTGTGTAGCCTGTCCTGCAGTTGACAGTACTGATAAAGTTAGCATTAGGCAGGACGGGAGGTGAGTAGTCCTCAGAGGAAACAGAAGCTGGGTTGTAGTGAACCACCAGCGTGTTATCTGTTATGGGAGCACATCCTGGCACACAGTAAACTGCCCTGTAGGAGGTAGCTGTAGCTGTTTGGCCCTCTGTTTGTACCCAGATATTAGGCACGAAATACTGGTCATTACACTCCACTATAATGGTCCCCTCGGTGTTAATCCTGGTAACGTTTACCCCTATTATCTCCCTTATACCGTTAGTAAAAGTGTACCCCTCTTGAACGCATGTTACCGTGAACTTGCTCCCGCTGTTAAAAGTTGCTGTGATCGCAAAGTTAGGATATGTCACGTCTATCTGGTTTGGGTAGATACCAGCGGGGTTGTTGGCAGGAACTGGCACCTTGCTGGTTTGAAGCGCACATTTAGAGGCGGTGGTGATGTGGAGGAGTGTTGCTAGGAGGAGGAGAGGGAAGAGAGGGAGGAAGGTCATGTCAGTGAGTATTATTCTGGGTTATCGAGTGCCAAAGAGGGTTCAAGAGTCGCACTGTATAGCTACATGACAGTAGAACTAATGAAAGGTCGCAGTCAAACAAGAGTTAGACAAACAGTGGCCCAGGTGTGTACTTTGTAGAGTGTAAGTTGTAAGCCACTTCCTTGACAGGTCTCCCCCTAAATCTGTACTCTGAACTGTTGAGTGAACTGGTCTACACTCTACAATACAGACGTTAAGATCCCTCCAAACATTTCCCCGCATCAAATAGTGCTTGACTCTTGAGCCAGACTGACTGTACTTAGAAAACTTCGTTCATGTAATTTTTCTGACAGTAACTACTAACTAGTCTTTATTTAAAAAAATAGCAGATGTCTTGTAATCTGAGCATGATATAATACAATAATACCTTGGCTGTTGAGTGCTACCTGCGATAATTCCCGACGATTTAGCGGAGGAAACGCGGGGCTCGAAACGAAGCCAAGGTATTATTTGTTATCATTTTTTCCGGTTATGATTGGAAGATGTACGTAATGTGATACGTGCGCATGATACAATATAGTTTGCAATATATATAGTGCGTCACTGTTATTTGTTTTGAAACTTCCCGCCAGCCAGTCTTAGGTGACTCGCTGTCTGTCCTCACAATACTCTGGCAACCCTTGCAGAAAATTATCGGTTACCAGTGTCCACGACTTTTCGAGAAAATAATTCCCGGAAAATATTATAATCATCAAGTTGTTATTATCTCCTAACATGAACCATTTCAGGCGTTCGAGTACCTTACTATTGGCTGCAACAAACACAATACGGAGAGTTGTTTTTCTAAAGCTAACTGTTATCTACAAGGTCAGTGCAATCCTCTGCTTACTTTAATCTCTACTCTAACTAGGTGTTCACTTTCAGGGTCAACCAACAATATTTTGGTACTTGCAAGAAGTTGCAAAATTGAGGGTTTATCGCCTTTCACCATTTACCAAACCCAAAATTTCTCCGAGAAATCCTTTAAAGCCTAAAATCGGATCACAGAAAAATGTGACAAAGACAATGGTAATTTAGAAGTCCTCTGTTGTGTGCCCTATTTAAAAGATCTGTTCTGAAAATTAAATCGCATTTTTTTTTCTTTGTAACCTCCGGTAGGGTAGATTCATGATTTTTTAACTCTGGTTACAAAATTTATTATGCTATCCAAAACTAATTTAATACCCTGAATCAGATCATCTTAGTCCAGATTTGCGGTATAATAGCAGTAATTTCTCAACAATATCTGACTAATAACATCAAATTCACCGAATATATGTGGTCTTTGTAAAAAAAGTGTCGTAAAATTTGCACTTCTATTATCCCTGTCCTTATTTGGAACAGCTTTTTAACAACCTTTGCTATTCGGGATAAATTACAGAGAATTAAATCACTTGTTCAAGTGATTGAACAAGTTTACCACATAAAATGTGACTTTTTTGAAAAATAATGTCTGTATGACACTGTATTCTTACTCTTCGATGGTAAAAATACATCCCAAAGAGTTAATCAGTACTGCATGACGGATAACTATCTAAAATCTTTAAAAGATTTAAAAGTATAAAGCTTTGATCATCTTTCACGCTCACGTTAGATGCTAACATTGGATCTTTGTAAAACAACGAGGACCTATTTCACCCATATATTTTTCTTAAAGCCATTGTATTAGAAATAATAGGAAATAAAGTCACGAGAATCCAAAAGTCACTGTAGCTACTATAAGTAAGATTCTCACAGTGCATTATCTTCGTCAGAGATAATTTGATACAAAAGAGCAAGTTTCCAAGTATTTTTCCGCAGTTCATTTCGGAATTGTATAGTTAGTTCGTTCCCTCCAAATCCTCGTAAAATTACCCTGCAGAACAATGATCTGGACTAATAATATGACTACCGCTAACTCGCCTCCCAGCACCTCTCCAGTTTTTGACGGTCATGACTTGGGCTTTCAATATATATCCCCAATCAATATCACTATAGCTCTTTATATTATTATCCAGAACTCCGTGATCATATTATATGATTACCACAAGGACTGGAGAAGGATTTCTTGCCTATTCTTCATTCTGATTGGTGCTGTGGACATCGGAAGTGCGTGTTTCGAGATAGGACGAGGCTCAATATCACTACTGTGCTTGAAGGACCCTTCTATGAGGATGCATCCTTGGACATTTCTGGTCTGCCAAACCTTTGGTGTACTCTGCTACGTTACTTCTACGTTTTGTGTTCTTGTGCTAACGGTTGTGAAGACTATCAACATAATGCGTCCATTTTACAGGCAGAATAACCGACTTTTGAAAATAGTCCTCTTTATTTACCCGTCCATTCTCCTGGTCCTGTGCATTATTGATGTTTGGGAGTGGAATGATCTCATAACTAGTGTTAATGATATCCCAAAATGTGGTGTTTTTGGGGGTCCATGGAGCAGTATGATTGCAATAGAAACAATTGGACCAGGCATAACACGTCTTGTAATAGATTTGATGATGCGTTATTTTGCATTGTCTGATGGCGCAGCAAATCACATGATGATTATCATGGACATAGTTATAGCTTTAGTTCAGTTTGGTCTGCCTTGCTTGATCGTGCTTGTATGCATGGTGCTCCAGATGATCTATATAAAGAAAGCCTTTGGAGGTCACGAAAACCCACAGCTGAACACTGCAAACCAAGTTAACTTAACAGTGTTTCTAATCTCACTACTGTACTTGAGTAGCGTCTCTTTGTACTGTATGATGACATTCCCCTTGGTGACGTATATGTCCCCCGTATTGCCAGTACCCATCTGTGTATTGTTAGAATTGACACTTCCTCTAATGAACGCAGCACTGTTCCCAACCATCCTGATCCTGCGTAAACCGGAAATGAGAGCACGGTACAGAAACTACATAGCAAAAGTTCTCCTTCTACCACTCACTATCTATGGAAAAGTTCGTCATCTGGCTCAAAGAAGACGAGGATATACAGAGATCTGATCAGAAGTATCTACATACTCGGGAAAGTTTGTTATCTGGCTCAAAGAAGACAAGGGTATTCTGGTTCTGGAATGATCTCCTAACTAGTATTAATGATAGCCCAAAATGTGGTGTTAATTATGGTCCATGGAACATGATCACTTACTTAGAAACAATTGGACAACGCACAACAGGTCTTTTAATAAGGTTGATGATGCGTTACTTTGCATTGTCTGATGGCGCAGCAAATCACATGATGATTATCACGGAGATAGTTATACCTTTAGTTCAGTTTGGTCTGCCTTGCTTGATCGTGCTTGTATGCATGTTGCTTCAGATGATCTGTATAAAGAAAGCCTTTGGAGGTCACGAAAACCCACAGCTGAACACCGCAAACCAAGTTAACTTAACAGTGTTTCTAATCTCATTACTGTACTGCACGGTACAGAAACTACATAGCAAAAGTCCTCCTTCTACCACTCACAATCTATGGAAAAGTTCGTCATCTGGCTCAAAGAAGACGAGGATATACAGAGATCTGATCAGAACTACTTTATACATTTGATCTCTATCCTCTTCCCACATTAAGTGATAATTTTCGTTTTATCTGATTTAGGCGAATATTTAAATTTTCAATGATTAAGATAGTGATTAAAATTATTGATTTTGTCTCACGTCACGGGCCGCTCTACGTGCTGCGTGGGGCAAAATTGATTGAGATGATATTTGGTTTTTAAAATTTACAAAAAGTAAAAAAAGTATCGATTTATTAGATGATTGGTTAAAATGATCGATGAACAATGAAAAGCCTGTACTGGTATGGAGCAAATTTGATTGAGGTGATTGTTTTAAATATTTTTAAAGAAAGAAAGGGAAAAAAGAAAAAAAAGGTGATTGTTGACAATAATGATATTCGTTCGATTGATATTCGAATTCATTTTTATTTTAAATGATCTGTAATAGGATCGATGAACAATAAAATGCCTGGGGTAAATTTGATTTAAATGATCGATTTTTAAAATTTTGAAAAGAAAAAAAAAGTGATTGTTAAGATGATCGCATATAATTATATTCGTCAATTGTTATTCGAATTCATGTCTATTTTTTGAAAACTAAAAGGAGATATATTTGTTATTATATCTTTAAAACTAACTGTCTTAATTAGTATTTTTCCTTTATAGTTTGACTGTCATAATATGTTTCCATATGAAATTTGTCTCCAATAACAATTTTTTCTTGACAGATTCCGATCCTTATGGCATTCCAAATAAATACAGTTACATAATTTTTATATTTTGCGTGTGTTTATGTACTTCTCATGATTTGTATTTCATTTTTTCCCCCTAAAAAATGAATAGTCATTTGGTAAATAAACTATTCTAATTTTAGACAAATTGAAAAAGTATAATAATTCAATAGCGTTCATCTACGATTAGATTTAGGAAAAATAAGTTTGAGCTTGAGATATCGGAGTGTATAGTGGCTGGCCTAGGGACACTAACAAACCCATAAAAGATGAAAATAACCGAAGCATAACTTTTACATAATCGATATCTAAGCAACTTGTACCTATCAACAATAACATGGTTTCAAACAAAGGGAACGATGTTCAGGGCCAAGTTACAACTTTCATATAGTTGGATATATTATCCAGAATTTACAATTTCACCACGCATATTATGTAGGAATAAAAAAAACCGGCGCATATAGCTTTGTGATAACTGGACTCAACGCAACCTATCAACAATGATACATGGTTCCAAAGAATTGAACTATGTTTAGGTCAAACTCCAACGTTTATTTGTGTATACAGTATATATCCAGAATCTATAATAATTGTACCACGCACATTGCAAAAGCATCTGAAAACATCGTATAAATAGTACATATAAACTGACAAGCACAGAGTTCCAGAATCCAGAATATTTAAATATATTTCACACCTAAGTTACCATTGTGGTAATCCGGATATTTACCTCAACTCTAAGTTCTCACCCACCAGGTATGGGAGTAGAGCAGGACTACAGTAAAGCAGTGCCGCTGTTAGAGACCGGATGCTCCCGAGGACACCACCGTTCATGTCACAACCTGGGAGTCTTGTATTACCAGGGCAAGGGAGTGGACAAGGATCTCAACAAGTTTAAACTTTATAACGAGAAAGCTCAGATATTTAGATTCCAGAAAGATCCGTTTAAGGGGAGTACCGAACAGAATCTTGGCAGCGGCCCACTCGCTCATTAACTAATAGATGTTTAATTATTTGTTAATTAAAAGTCCGAGTTGGATTAGTGTTTAGTATCGTGTTTGAACTTGCCCTGGACTAGGATTAGCGCTGTGGCGCTTTGTGGTGATGATCCCCCACCTTGCACTAAGAATCTGGTAGTATCTGGGCTTGGCAGAGAACTTATTACCCGAGAATGAAACGTGTACGTGACCATCGGACTGAGTACGTGACCATCAGACTGAGTACGTGACCCCGCTGAGTGCCTTGTAGTTGCCTGGCCCTCCAGAGATTAAAATTAAGTATTGAAATAAGTGAATTCCTATCATTATGTTTAGGGTAATTTATTATGTAGAAATTTGAATTTTATACGTTTTGATATTTATTGATTTTTGAGTTGAACTCGTCAGTCTAAGATTTTACTATTTTGTCGAGTTTCAATTTTCCATCTTTCGTCAAACGTGCAGTGTTATGAATAGAGATAATATGTTTCACCCAGTTACATGAACAATTCTCTTCCGAATGTCGATCAATTTCCTCTCGATGGTTCAGCAATTTAATTACCATTTAATTAAATTAATCGACCACATCCAATAAAACATTGTCAAGTAAAATATAAATATTCGAATTGATATTTTATTTCTAATCAAACAATTAAAAAAACAACAAACCTCCCAGTAAGATAATATGTCAGAATCAGATAGTATAGTTCACCAGTACTTGCTCACTGTGTCAGAGAAGCTAGCTAAACAGTTTGCGAAGAAGAGGCCCAACCCAACACCATGGTCCGGACCAACATTAGATCTCCTCATAGACTTTTACAAAACAAAGTAGGTTCAGTTTAACTTTATTTATGTGGTGGTGAGTAGTGGCATTTATTGAATATGAGCGATATTTTGACCCTGCATTTTTCAAATTATCTGATTAATTCTATTATCAGGTAATCTTAACTGTTAATTCTCTAATTAACTGTATTATAACTTTTGCAGCTTTAAAGAAGAACCCGCTGCTACTGAAACTCCAATGAATGGTACCTGTGAAGTGATACAACCTGCTGTAAATGGTAAAAGCAAAGTCCTACCTACCTATGTCACCTATGTTGAGATTTGTTAAGATTTGTTAAGCTTTAACAGGGCCATCACATTGCGTGACCACCCCACAGAGAGGAGATCTCTCTGTCATTCCTCCAGCAAAATTATTATGTATAATGTAATACAATGTAATACAATGTAATACAATGTAATAGTCTTTGATTGAACTTAGGTCTGAACGAGAGAATTATAGTAAATTTCTTTAATTGTCCACCTGTAGGTGTTGCAAAGAAGAAAGGCAAGAAGAGGAAGCTCAGTGAAGTGGACAACTCTGTGACTGAAGTTACAGCTGTTGAGACCAACGGACAGACGGCTACAGGTTTGTTTTACGCTTTACAAAATAAAACAACTTTATCTGGGTGGTTTCCTGTAGGAGTGATCGTGTTGTTCTGATTTGTTGTGAACTTCAAAACAGGTGTCTCTCAACAGTTTATTGAAACTGATAGTTGTAACAGAGGTGGAGAGAGTGGAATATTAGCGTTGTTTAACATTTGGTGTTCTTGCAAAACGTGGCTAAGTCTTTCAACCCAGGATGGTAATTTTTATAAACTTCAGAACCTGAGAAAAAGAAGAAGAAGAAGGTTAAGAAAAGTAAGAAGAACAAAACACCCGAAGTTGTGGAAATAATACAAGTTGCAGGTAAAAATTCAGTCAAGAAAAATTGAACTTAGGGGTAATATTACACATATTACTTATAATCTGTGATCAATTTTTGGACGATTTTAACCCCCTGGACCCCCTCCGTAATCAGTTTTACACTCTCTGTCAAAATTACACTAGCGTAATCACTTGGAAACCCACCTCCCCCATCGGCTGATTAAGTAATATGCGAGCAACGTCAGTACTATACTCAGTGTCGAATTTTATTTAGTGTCACTGAGATATAACAGTCATTATTCTTACCGTTCTAATAATAAAACTTCAGAAGACAAGGTAGCAACGGAAGAAACAACAGAAGAAACCCCCGTTCCAGGAACACCTGAACCACAGGAAGAAGTTGTTGTGACTCCAGCTGTTACAGAAGAGAAAACAGTACCCGGTGGTCTGGTCACGAGTGTTGTCCAGGAAGAGGAGGAAGAAGAGGAGGAAGAGGAGGAAGAGGAGGAGGAAAGGCCGGTTAAGAAATCTAAACGTAAGTTTTGTATCCGGTCAGTCGATCAACTCTAACGATATATCTGAAATAAACAGCTTTATTGCTTATCACACCTCAGTTGATCCTTCGGCTCACGTTAATAACAATAACGTTTTTCAGTGAAAAGGAAGCAGTCTAACTCATCCTTTAGAAGAATTAAGGAAGAAGAAATCATCATTAAAAAGAAGGAGTTGACAAATAATGCTTTCGAAGCCAAAGGGGTTAGTCCAAGTGATTTGTAAATATCTCTTTAAGTTTAAAATCTCTGGCGAAAAGAAAAATTGAATTGGTTAGATATTCGATTGTATACTTTTTTGAAAAGTTTGGGGTATACTACTTGTAATATTTGGGAACACCACTTATATTTTCTTATCGCTATTACCGCAGGGTGCCGATGAGTTTGGCCACAAAGCAAACCAGATCCTCAAATTCACGAAGGGAAAAAGCTTCCGACACGAAAAGACCAAAAAGAAGAGGGGGACATACAAGGGGGGAGCCATCAATATGGGCGTGACTTCCGTAAAGTTCGACTCTGACTCAGACTGAGAGCAAATCGCGGTCTTTTAAAAGTGTAATTTATTATTTTGCCAGGGTGTTTAATTTATTGAAATCATTTTAACAGTTTTCTGACTAATTATCTGAAAGTATCAGTATATCGATGCCGATTTCCCTGAAAGACATTTATAGACTAGATTTATGTCTTTTAATTTTATTGATGGTAAATGCCTCTGAAACTGTTCGGTTACTGATACAGTTTTGGTAATTTCTTTAACCATCTTTTAAGTTTTAACCTTTTACACAAAGTCGTGTCAAGATTTGTTTATTACCTTAGGATCCTTAACAGTATGAAATGCAATCGAATAAAAACAAAATAATAGTCGAATATATTTAAAAATGTGTAAATATCATGCACAATGCTCATATATCAAAATATCTTAGATTTAAGATACCAAAGCTGCTATTAAAAAATATGACCCGTAAAAGCAAGATAGAAAATCAAATGATAATACAAAATTAAAGTAAGGTACATTCATAAAACATGCCTTAATCACCAAGAACTGTGTCACAATTCACATGTACTAATTCAAGACAGCTCATGCCAATGAAAATCAGATCTTGGAAATAGTCGGGCTCTTATCAACCCCAATTACATAACCTAAATTCCTCATCCCCCCTGGAACATACAGCACAGTTCCTCTAAATGTTTCTCCTTAAACTGAGGTGTGATATTAACAAACAGCACATCAGAGAGTCCCTCAGTCACACAGGGAGCCTTGTATCTTGATTTGAAAGTGTTGAACGCTATTCCGGGTACTTGAGCACCGGACTCCGCTATTCTTCTGAACCTGTGTAATGAAAAACGGTGAATAGAATGTGCGCAGCGTTACCAGATGGTCAATATTGCACAGTTTCTTTTAATTATGTCATGTTGATAAAATATGTCACACCACAATTCCCCAAAATATTCCATTCTTTATAATTAAATTTTGCTGAGGCTAAACTGTAATAATTATTGAGGTTGAGCGTAGTTTTTATTCAGTCTCGAATCTCCACGCAACAGAAACCAGTATTAACCTGTTGTTGTGCTTAGCGTGTTCCAGAGTTGTGTTCATGACAAAACAGCGTACAGGAATTTTGTGCTTCTCAGCTAACTCTATGTATCTGAGATGTAAAATGCTTGATCAGCTGTAAACACAGTAATAGATCGATATTTGCATTCTATCATCAATCATGTCTACGAACCACGTCGGCTAGCCGGTAGCCAGTGCAACTCTAGCGTGGTCCGGTGCGCGCGCCATATATGGCGCGTACGTAACATGTGCGCGTTTCATTTTTACACAATGCGTGTTCCATAAGTTAAACTGAAAATAGTGACCGAAAAAGTGGCACACTATTTAACCAGACCATTTATTAGCGATCATTGAGTCAGGATTGAGTTTTAATACCAACATTACCAAACAATCTGCTGAGTACTGGTCCTACCTTTTTCTGGAAGCAGCATCTGGACAAGTGTTGTCGACAACAACACTTTCACTTCCCAACAAACTTCTTTCTATCACCGCAACACATTTGCTGTAGCTCTTCAGTTCGTCTAGATTTACTCGCTCGTAGGAATTGAGATGACGTTTACAGAAACTAGATTTGCCACTACCAGGATATCCCACCATTATTATCATCTGCAATTGAGAGAAAATTAGTATGCTTCCGTAAACAAACAAAAATGTATAGTCATCAATTATTCATTATTGAATTATTGCAAATTCGATTAAAAAACGTACTTAAAAGTGTTTTTCGAATAGTAGCTATTCAATCTAAGTAAAAATTATTAATTGCATCACCTCAGACATTTATTCTGATCACAGCCGAAAATAAAAATCAGTAATTAGGTATTCGCTCCATGAAGAGAGAGAGAAGTAAAAAAAATATGAAAATTTAAGTTCAATCGAACTATAATTTACGGTATTTCGCTAAATAGAAGAAATTAAACCTCTTGATGCGCAGATATAAGTTTTTTGTCCCCTTGAACAAGAGGTAGCTTCTCCGCAATGTAACTCGACATATTGAACGATTTCCAATTCCACTGTGTAGATTCCTTGTGCCCTGTAAAATCAAGATTTAGCTTTTTAGGGTGAATATCTTGGATAAAAGTGTGTGGGAAAGAGAGTTATACTTAAGTGATAGCTGTTTGGTTTGATAAGAATATTTATGAATATTTCGAAAGTTAGCTTAGTTCACAAAATATGGTGTGCCAGATCTTTGGGCTCAATTGATTTCGGTACCAAAAACTTGGGCGAAAAATTAGGATTTGGCGACAAAAAATCTGGGCATTCAATTTCTAGAAACATGGTAATTTTCCCTCTAATGGAATTGAACACAAGATCATTTAACTACAGATATAAGGAGAAAAAATGTAATGCGGAAATTTGGAAGTTATAGATAAGAGGGCTGCCCAAATTTTTCGGAACTAAGGTAGATCGTGAATTCAACGAATCTTTAAAAAATATTTTTAAGTACAGCTTTCAAAAAAAGCAATATTAGTTCGATGGCTCATTTAAACTGTACGATTTCAAATGGTCAAATAACGGAGTAGTTCGCTGTTTATTAGTCTCATGATTGAAATACTGATATCTGGATATTATCCGGTTGGAAGAGACAAGGACAAGTGAAACAAGGAAGTTAGGAGTAAGGGCAAATTTTCGGCGTCAACGCCATCTTCAGGCTAAAGAAGAAGATGGCGTTGACGCCGAAAATTTGCCCTTACTCCTAACTTCCTTGTTTCACTTGTCCTTGTCTCTTCCAACCGGATAATATCCAGATATCAGTATTTCAATCATGAGACTAATAAACAGCGAACTACTCCGTTATTTGATATTTCTTAACCTCGACCGGGAAACCTTCAGTTCCGCAAAAGATCTTATATCCTTCGGTGAACACCTAAAATCCTACGAACAAAAACTGAATTTTCTAAAACATTGTAAACATTGCCATTTAATTCCTAAATTTATTTCGAACTCAGTTCATCTTAACATTAATATTCTTTTTCCTGTGAAACTACCTAACTTTTTAAATTATTATGTAAATAAATTATATACCCACTCACTGAATCAGTGCATTGATGACTTATATTATAAGATCGATAATTGTAAACAAAACATTTATTTGTTAAAATGTAGACTGTCTGGGAGACCAGAGTTTTATGAAATATGTCAAATGTTTAGTGATAACAACCACGATGTTAAGGAGTCATCTAAACAGAGATTGATTCATAAGTTTAATGCTCTCAGTACTCCCACCCACACCTATCAGTCTAATGTGTCACACGACTCCACCTCTACCATCGAGCCACCTAGCAGCAAAGTATCTGCGGTAGGCGTTGTCCTCAACGAGAATGAGACTAACGTCCTCAGCTTAGGCCCCAAGTTCGCCCTAGCACCCCGAGTAGATGAACGCCTCAAGAAAGATGTGCAGATCAGCCTTGCTCAGACCGCCTACCGGCTCCGCTGGAAAACCTGTTTTTCAGATGAGATCCCAGATGATACATGCCCGACCAGCTTCGCATTTATTAAGTCGAAAAACGTGCCATTTCAACGACCGTTTGCTGGTGCTCCACCCACCACCAACCTCGCCATGGAACATCACCTCCGCCAACTGTGTTACATCACTAACACCAGATTAGAACACAGTAAAGTACCCTCTAACCTAACAGCAAAACAACGGGAGGGACTCAAATCCTTGATTGCAAGAAAAGAAGAACTCCACTTCTCGAGAAGCGACAAGGGGGGTGAGTTTGTGATTATGAGCAGTGGAGTACAACAGCAGACTACGCAGAAACATCTGTCAGACATGACCTCGCAAGAAGCGTACACCTACGTTGCACCTACCACCACGCGACAAAATCGGATCCAACCAATAGCAAACCCCTCAGAAGTCTCCTACAGCCGCCTCATCAACAGGGTTACTGAGAGACTAGAGACTGAGAGTAATGTGTTATGGACAGAGATAAGTAGGATGTGTAATTATGACAGCAAAACAGTAGACTTATTTAAATCACATAATACCCAACTACCGACTATTTATTTAATACAGAAAACTCATAAATTTGATTGTAATGTCTTAGTTTCAGATGTAGATATTATTTCTAATTGTAAAATACGTCCAATTGTGTCTTGTATAAATTCCCCTTCTGAGAAGCTTGCTTGGATTGTTAAATCTATTCTATCTCCTCTGCTTAATCATGTTCCATCTCACCTGAGCAATATACACACTCACCTAGAAGAGCTTCAAAACATGTCACATCAACAACTCTCAGGTCTCTCATTCTTCACAGCTGACGTCACAGCACTGTACACAAACATCAACATCAGTGGCTGCATTCAAGACCTCATTACACTCACCGAAGAACATTGGGAAGACCTCGACACCTGGGGTCTAACACTCACGCACATCCACAAGATCCTTGAATTCGTCTTCACCAACTCATACTTTACATATCACTCAAGACTCTACCTCCAGAAAATTGGTCTCTTCATGGGGTGCCAACCATCACCAATAGGAGCGATAGTACGAGTATATATGTTCGAGAGAAGATCGATTTACACTGATTTACACGTCTCATTCTACCGGAGATACGTGGATGATGCCGGGAGTCTAGCCAGCTCCAAGGAAGAAGCTCTGAGGATAGTGGAGTCCATCTCAAACGAGGACCCAGACCAGTTGCTCAAATGGGAAATTGACTATCCGGAAAGCCGTCAGGATTTCACCCCATTCCTCGACACCCAGATAAAGATCGACGAACAGGGAACACTACACCAAAAATTCTACAGAAAGAAGCAGAAAAAGAATATCACACTGCACGCCAACAGCCACCACAATGAGGGAACTAAAGTAGCAACCATCAAGAACTTCTACAAAACGGCTGCTTTTTGCTCATCAACACCAGAGTATGAAGAAGAGTCCATGAAGATAGTAGACAACTTGTTGGTCAACAACGGTTACCAAGACCCACGACGTATAAACAAAACAGGACGACTTCACCCTCTCTCACCTACAACACGTCAAAACCCTTCATCATCAAACATACAAGATACCGACCACGTAACATGCACTCTACCATTCATCAACGAGCCATTTTCCAAAGAAGTCACTCAATTTGCCCTCTCACACAACTTACCGGTCAAATTCATATTCACACCAGGTAAGAAACTCTCAGAGATCTTATGTTCATCACGACCACACGACAAACCACACTGCACCATACCAAACTGTATCATATGTCCACTCATCACAACAAATCACGACTGCAAACCAAAATTTTATTTTTTATTTTTTTTTAGAGAGGCTGGGCCTGGTTGGCCCACGAGAGGATAGCATATGAATGCTTTGCCTACCTCTGGGGTATGGCAGTCCTGTGGGAGGATGCCAGTGGAATCAAGATGTGTAATCAAGGATGATGGTAAGTGTTGTGGGGTGTGTCATGGATAAACGCTTAAGTGGTGGTTGAGTGTGGAAGAGAGAGGCGAAATAAGACGGCGTTAAAATAGTCGCTATGTTACACCTGTCTGGTCCAACTCCTCTGGCACCACTAAGCGTTTAGTGTGGTTTGTAAAGTTGACAATGGTGGAGATGTGTTGGTTGTCGAATATGTCATTGACAGAGAGGTAGTAGTCCCGGAAATATTGACCTCTTATTTGGGCAATAGCCGGGCACTGTCCGAGAAACCAAAATGTGTCATATACAAAGTTACGTGTAAATTATGTCAAGAGCTATATATAGGGGAAACGAGTAGAACAGCACACGATAGATTTTCAGAGCATCGAAGAGCAGTCAACAGGCCTTTAACCTATCCTGATAATGCGTTGGCTGCTCATTATTCAGAGTTTCACGATAACATAGAACCAGATATTTCCTTCGATATTTTAGAAATTAACTTATATAGCACCATTAAGGCCACAGGGGGGGGTCCGAGGTCGATTTTGAGATTTTGAGATATGTTGTAGAGCTCGATCTAAATTTTCAAATGCTTTTGTCCTTACCGAAAACAAAGTTTCCTATTTGAAGATATCGCGCGTTGAATTTTGAGGTTTACCTGTAATTCTATTGTAAATGAAAACTTTAAATGAAATCGTGTTCAAAATCTATCTTCTTTTTCAGTTTATGACTTAGAACCTTGTAACTTGGCAACAATGTTCTTCAAGGTATTTTGAGTTTTTGTTATGTAACGATTTATGATATCTTACTCCAAAGCTGAGATATGAGGTTAACCATGAGTGCGGGTTACAAAATTTTAAATGGTTAACCTCATAAAAAGAGTTAGGAGCAAAATTACAACAATCGTTACATAACAAACTTTTAAATTTATGTCAGGAACATAAGTTCCAAATTTGAGGTGAAATGGATAAAAACTCTAGGAGAAGATAGATTTTGAAGTAAAAAATTCGAGGTTTTCAGGAGAGGCAAAAAACTGTTTTTTATGTTATGTGATTTTTGAGAATTTTGCCTTTATTTGTATATTTTTCAAAGTTTAACTGCTGAAATAACACAAAAACAATAAAAACAAAGCTTATCGTAGTTTTCAGTTGTAATGGCATCAATATTTCTGCCCTCCATTATCGATTTATCAAAAAAATGAGGTTAAATGAGAATTGGTTAACCTCATTTATAAAAAAAAGTAAAATAGCTACAGACAAATGAGTGGTGGCAAAGTATCCACCACAAAAATATATATTGATTCAAAGCATAATGTTTTTTTGCATTTTTTCAGGCCTCGACCCCCCCCTGTGGCCTTAAACGTAAAGTGACAGAAGCTTACTACATTAATTTATTTAAACCTAGTATCAATAACAAAGAAGAGTGCGAGAAGCTTAAGGGATTTCTTTTACAACATATTCAAAGACAAATTTAAACAAATAGCACACGACCCTGCTGTTCAGTAGATATTATGTACTTGGACAGAGTGTAAAACGTGTGTACATCACTATTTTCAATGTAATGTACAATACCATTTGATGTAACCTGTATTCAGTGTGTGTAATTTTAATTTAGCATTTTAACTAGTATAGAAGCATTTATTATATACTAACATTTATAACAATTTTAGCCTGAAGATGGCGTTGACGCCGAAAATTTGCCCTTACTCCTAACTTCCTTGTTTCACTTGTCCTTGTCTCTTCCAACCGGATAATATCCAGATATCAGGATTTCAAATGGTGTGTTCTCGCTATATTGGCGATTTTCATTGCAACGCATTACGCAACAATATCATAATTTATCAGACAAACTTCTCAGCTTGTTGGTCTTGGTTACCACGCTTCGACCCTGTGACTCAAGAAATTCCAAGACCAGCTTGCCCAGTACAAACTTTTCACCTTTAAACTTGCCACAATTTTACATGATCCAATTTTATGTATCTAACTATATGCTCTACCTATTTACAAGAATTGCTGCAGCTCGATTGTAACAATGATAAGCCGGATATTTTAAGAAAGCTCTGACATGTCTCCTGGGGGTCTGGTTTGTCGACAGTTTGACTCCATTCAACTCTGAACACAACAATCCAAACCAGCATGACTTGTTGCCAATTTGTAACTCGCAGAATTGAGAAAGACCCCAGCAGTGCTAATTTCACTCGATTATACGGGAAGACTCTTTGTGTTTTTGAAGAAATTCGGCAAAATTATCAAACTTTTTCTTAAAAAAGTCTCAAAACTTCCTTTTGGTCGCTATTTAATGATATAAACTGGCCGCCTACTTAGTCTTCCTTTCCTCCTCGAAGTTCGATGGTAACAATTCATCGCAAGCGGACTTCGTCTCACCGTTAATGTTCCCCGACTGAAATCCAGTTCCCACCCCTGATCTTCCCACCCCTCCCCCGCCCACTCACGTAAGAGGACTAGTGTAAGAGGTGACTCTACTGAAAACAACCCGACAATCCGGGCAACCCTCTCATTGATCTATTACGTGTCCATGACAATCCCCTATTAGCACTGCTCAGTGCCGTTTTCTGAAACGAGTAACAGCGCCCAATTTACTGGAAGATATTACCTGGATACAACAACAACTCAGTGCCGTCGTATCATGATCACTGTTTCCGATATCCGTTATCCGGGCCCCGTGATTACGGGGTCACGTGATACGCCGATACAGGGTCACGTGACACGTAGTGAGATACGGGTTCCTGGTACCCTGGGCATCCCATTGTTTTAGATCATTATATTCATGTTTGCTGCAAACAAAGCAGATGATGATGAGAGGGCTGAGCTGGTTGTTTTGTAGCCCCTGAGCTCTTCACTGATTATTGGTTTTCCTAATAACAACTGCTAAGAACTCCCTTTGCCACTAATATCAGGCCTTCTCTCAATTTATTTTTTAATCTTATCTCGTTCTGGATGTTTTATACCAAGTGGAATAATTGATTATATTTTGTAGATTGTTTATTTTCCAGATAAGAACTATCACGTGCAGTAACATTCTCTCGTTTGCTAGTAAGTAAAATGTTAGTAAGATATAGAAACACAAACCTAGGAAGAAAGCTTCAGGAGTGTGGAAAGATACTCCAATGTTGTGCGCAAATTCCCGATCGGAAGAGGAGAAATCTTTCCTTTTCTTGTTGCTAGGGTCCCACCCTGCAGTTCTACCCGCTGCATCCCCTGTTATTTTAGTTGTGATGTTTTCAGTTGAAGAACTGGTTATTTACCAAACTTTCCCTCCACCGATTAATACCGAAGAGGAACGCATAAAATTATATTTTTATGGTAAAAATAACGTTGACTGGAGTTTTAGGGCTAACTTACTGACCAACGTAAAAGGAGTCGGTGTAATCTACAGCTACACCGTCGTTATACAGCTGTTCAAACGCAATCCACATTCCTGAAATGTTTACTGGTTAACTTGCTGCTGAGTCGAGCGATTTCAAATATTCCTTTGAATACATGAAATATTCCCCATATAAATAGAAGCTTAATATCCAATTTTCAAAATTTCATTAAGATCAGTTTCGGGAATTCTAACAAATCACATCACCGTGGTTTTACAGTGGTTTTACAGTAAATAAGCTGGAAGTACCTGGGGCAGGTTTACGTGTTGCAGTACTACGGGGAGCAGCCAGCACTTGCACTGGTGCTCCTAGTTTACTAATCGCACTCTCTATCTTAGCCTGAGGTGTCAAATCGTTTAGTAACTTAATAACTTTTTAAAGGTTCATTAATAGAACCACAATTTAACAAGACTCATATTTCACCTTGGGTTTTTGAAATGTCTCACCTGGAATTGCTGGATGGTGACTTTCTTAGCTTCGATACCGTTCTGGTTGGAGATTATCAGCAGTTTGTATCCGTCTTCATGCAATTGTTTTAGTTTGCCTTTAACCTGGTTATTAATCACGGTTAACAGTAATGTATGTTACTTTCCTTGACTACTACCTTTTTTCCTAAGAAAGTATCGATAAAATCTAATATGATAATACATCTTATAAATAATCATTAGGTGACCTTGATATCATACGATGTGAGGTTGACCTTTTCGAAAGAAAACATCAATAGGATTTATAAACAAATAATTGGAAGCACTCATCCATATGCATAGTCCATCACATACCGAATAATAATAGTTTTATAGTTTTATTATCAATAACCGTCAGATATAATCTAATTACGTGGCCTAAATTCATAAAATTGATACTATTACATTGCATTATATTATTATCAGTAGTCCGCGACCAGATGCTTTAATTGTTATAACAATCAAAGTGACTTATTAGGACCAGCTCATAATGCATAATGTTAATTAATGCTAGCTAAGGAATGAAATTTTGTTGATCTGACCTTGCCTGGCCACATGATATCCCAATCGTCAGGATCTCTGGGAAACACATTCCCCGACTTGGTGGTCACGATTGTGTGATCGAAATCAAATGCTGCTATCTTGCTACGTCCTGATGTGTTGAAATTGTGATAAGATCCTAGCGTTTGTACTAATCCAGTTTTATATGTGACAATAACTGAGAAGTGATAAAATAAATAAGCAGAGTTAGACAGGGTAGGTAGATCAGTGTTAATTACCATGTCAAATATTACAGAGAATAAGATCACTTTGTATTTTCCTTTCGGGTTCGGGGTTAGTAAAGTGGGATGAAGACTAATGATTATTGTTGATATCTTGAACTTAAAGAGTAAATTAATATCACAGAAAATCGTTACAACCTAGTATAGCTGGATAGCACGTATCTTATATCTTACAAGAGATCTATCGTATCTTACAAGATCAACATTTAGATATTATTATATCCGGATAGCAGCTACCTCATTCGTCACAACAGACGACTGATTGAGAGGTTGCACTGTAGTGATGACAACTAAATCTCAACTACTTTCGTCAACAGATAGGGAACTTATTAAGAGATCTAGCTTCAGAATAATGCAACAATTAAAGCACATTTAAAGTTTCGAGGTGCAAATTAAATGCAGATTAAACTTGTCGTCCATTAAAGTGACCAACACGTCTACAAAATAAATCGAATTGCTTAAATATTTGATCGCAACATTGTTCATTGCAGTGTTATAATTACTCATTAATGCTCTACAACATAGAACACTAAACACAGGTGTAAGCAATAGTTCCTTACTCATTAATAAAACAGTACATAGACGGGGCTAAAGAAATTATATATTTGGCAGAGTAACAAATCGCTATATTATAATCTAACCCTCGGACGCCGAATTTCTCACAAGTAAGTCTTTAGTAATGATCCAGGAGGTGTTACCCTTGTTACCACCTGATGTTTCGTCAGTTGGCCTACACTGTAGCTTGTCCAGGAGAAAGGCACTTAGTTCCCTCGAGACGTGACTCACAATGCTGCCAGTCGAGACGCTGCTGTCACGACTTGAGACGCTGCTTGTGTCGCGCGACATGCTGTTTAAGACTGGTTTATGGTTCGGTGCTTTTTGTTTGCCAGAGCTAAGTGCTGTCTGGTGCTTTTTGAGGGGTGCGGTCTCGCTGTCGTCTGATAACCGACGTTTTGATCCTGAAGTGAAGGGGTTTAGTTATTGAGTTATTAATATTTGATAATGGGTTAGTTATTATGTTTTCAATATAAATATATTATTAACTGTTATAATAAAGATATTACCCGCTTTGAGAATGTTGCTTCACAAACTTACTAGAGGTCAGCAAAAATGATAGCATGACAAATGAAATTGAGCACGATATAATTACCTTATCTTCACCATGAATACAATTATATCAACACAGCATTTTGAATTCATCACCTAGATTACTTATAAATGTAACTCACAAATTCAAGGTGGTTAAATATTTAATGACCAGTTAAATCTAATCCAGAAATCTAGTGAGATCATGATATTATGCTATTGCTGCGGTTGAGCAGGTGTTTTATTAAGAACGCTGCTGACCCGTGAGTTGCGGCTAACAATTCCGTTCTTTTGATTCATCCTTGTTACCGCTCATTGTTTAGAATTTTAGAGGTTTAACGCCGTCAAGTCGGATTTGAAATCATCAAAAAGGATGATTTGTCTTGTATAAAAGATGTGGCTAAGGATGGAGTTTTAAATGGAGGAGATTATAACTTAACGTTTAGCATTCAGCTAGATTCTAACCAGATTTTAACCATTTACAAGCTTTCATGGCGAGTTTATATTTGTTAAAAGTTTGATTTATTTAGTCACCCCTCAGCGGGCAGTGCGTGATAACACAAACAATGGTTACACTTAAAGACGACTGTTTCAGGCCTTTTATTAAATGATTGCTGTTACCTTTGACTTTTGGCTATGTGAAATAAGGAAACTGTATTTATTGTTTGACTCAACCCACTGAAATGGTCCTGAAACAGCCCAATCTATCCTGTACCAGCTGGAGTAAACAAGAGTGAAAGTGTTACAACAGCTATTAGTGATGGTCATGGTGATATTACTCCGACCGTTTAGTTTTCAGCGTGCGGGTTTGTTCCAATCTGAATCATTTACGGCTCGTTACGGGGCACAGTGTACCACTACCACAGTGTAGCACATGTGCGTCAATGGAATTTCATTTAAATTCTATTTATATTATACCTTTGATCTCAAAGTTCCATCGTTCAAGCTTTCTGAAGACAACTCATAAAAGCACAAAGATTAAAGTCATCGATTATTAATTAATGTTTCTTTAAAGGTTATTGGTGAGCCATGTTTCTTAGAGCTGTTCTTGTAAATCTGTCTCTTCAATCTGTCTCTTCAATGGTGTGGATTGTCGACAGGGGCGAGGTATAAATGCTGGTTTTCATTTCATTTCATATGATAACGCACTCCAAGTGAATTTAATTAGTCTTCAATAAGCTGTAAGTACCTGGTAAGAATGGCTGATGAACTGTGACAACCCAATCACTGATCATGGTACAATATAATATTTCATTGACTCATGACACCATGTGTAGAGCATTAATTATTGTCATCCAACTATTCATAGCTGGGCCTTTTTATCAGGACTTTTAATCATTTAAATTGCATACTTCTCTCGGCCCCAAAAATTTTATTATATTTTATGATATTTATCATTTTTAGGGTCTTCTGAGCTGATAAAACAAACAGTAGGTAGAGCCATTGTCCTATCTTTAACGGTTGTAAAATTATTGGCGAGTAATTATTCTAGACTAAAAACAAATGCCTATCAGACGTTTTTGTCTAGTGTCCACCTGTGAAATACCCATAAAGGATCTAAGATAGGTCCTGGAGGTACAGCAGTGCAATCGGTCTTATAATATTTAACACATCAAGAGTCATTAACGTCTAGGGAAGGGTTCAGTATCGTCTGTACTTTATTGATCTAACCCTCGCCATTTGGTCTAGCCCTCGTCTGGATGTGAGCAGTTTAAAGTACGATATAAATTTAAGCAGTTAAAAGTAGGCGTAGTCTAAATTAAAAAGCTGTTTAAAGTTATTGCCTTCGTTCGAGCAGGTTGAGGTTTTATGACGTCATGATTTCACTCGAAATCTCTGTGTTATTGAGCGTGAAATAACCTTCGACCTTGTGACCAGTTATTAAAGAGCTAATAGTGACACATCAACGTGCCGACTGCCGCCACATTTTAATCTTCATATTGTTTCCTCTCAATGTCAAGCGAACATCTTTGTATCGAAACTCCTTCGTGCCAACTTGTATCTATTTTCACACTTGATAATAATTACATGTTCTGATCGAAGAGGCGCTTTAATAATAATATATTACGCGTTTGGGTATTTTAGAATCTTTCTAGTACTAGACGATTCATAGAAATTTAAATGTAGGCTCTGAACCACTAACTGGCTAACCATATGGAAATGTGGGCCTGAGCTGACAGATTTTAATTTTGAACGCCGAACAGGTGTATATTATTATTATATCGGCGGATGATTTCAAAATCACAGCTCTACGATAACCAATGAGCCATAACGTGAGGTCCGTACTCCGTATTATTACCATCTGCATTTATTATATTTTGTAATATTTAATGTTCAAGATTGTGTATGAATGCAGCCGACATGATTGTATAATTTGTACACCGAAATTTTGGATTTACCGCTGCTGTTGAATAATTCAAATTTAATACCGCCCTCTTGTGTTGACTACTGAACTTGAATCAGTATTTGTCTTCTTTTCCCTTTTTTGCATATCAAAATGTCCATAATAGTACGATGTCCTTAAAAATTATATGGAGCTGAACAAAGTGAGTTGTAGTTGACGAAGACGTATGCTCTCCTGAGGCCGAAGCAAAAGTGTCGGTTGATCAAAGGCCATTATAAGAACTTTTAAGTAATTACCGTTACAATTTTTAAATCTTTTACTTCCTAAGAATAGGCCGTGATACTATTTATAGACAATATATTTATAAACGATTCCACTAACCACCGCCGCAGCTGCGAAAATGAACCAGCGCGGGAAGATCAAAAGTTAGCGTCGCAGTGCAAAATATACAATTATTAAACAGTCGCATTGTCGTTTTACCAAAATATCATTATGATGTAGTAACCATTTTCACTGCCACTTCGAGTTAAATTGTTTCTTTCTATTATAAAGCATAATATTATTCATTTACCTTTAAGATAATTACGGCTATAACTTACTTTACTTTTTACCGACTCTCAGTTAAATGACAGATGAAAGAGGGCCGACTAAGGAAATTTGCAGATCAGAGCTAATTTACTATTATAGTCCGTATATTTTAATAGTGCCAGTCTTCTTTAAAAAAGATTGGATCTGTATCACACCATTCTTTTACAGTGAGTACTAACCGACTGGAAAATGGTACTTTATATCAATCAAAAAACCCATTCTAAAACCCATTAGCTTATTTTTTACCAGTATTCTTGGCTTTGCTACGTTTTCAATCAGATTTCAAAAGCACACTTTCCGCGATTATTTTCGTGTTATCTTTAACATAGATCACGTAACATCGTCTCCAAAGAATTTTGCAAAGTCTCTAGTGGCGAGCAGCGTGTTGATCCAGCGTTGTTTTGTTATATTGCTTTAATGTTCTTGCAGTTTGTACAGTACAGGTCGTCTTGAGGCTTCTAGGTCTACTTAACCATGGTCACGCTGTATAATTTACTAATTCTAATACATTACATAATATTATTAAGCATAACTGATCGATAAGACGAACCTTTTTTAGCAAAAATCTGTTTTTCCCAGGTAATAGAATGGAATAGACATTATATTCTATTAAGTTATTAAATTTTATTTAAATAAAACTTAAAAATAATTTCTTACACATTGAGACGAACCTTTGTTAGCTTGAATAGTGTATCTGTATCTTCCAGGAAGCAACTCTATCACTGATGTTAGTCCAATCCTCACTTTCATATCTTTAGCTATCTCTTCGCCTGAAGTTATTACACTATTAACAAATACAGAGGTAGGCAAAGCATCTTTATGTTATCCTGTTGTGGGCGCGGCCAACCAGGTCCAGCCTCTACCTCTCTCCAAAAAGCAATGTATCTGATAACCAATGGGATTCGATGCCATTGATCACAATTACTGTATAACAGAAGAAATAATAAAATTCTTGATAGGAATATAATAGATACTATCACAACCCGTAATCATCAGTTTTTGTATTAAATCTGCCATGTTCTTATTATTTCATTAGATATAAGGGAATATATTAAAGTGTATGATACTAGTGAGTGGATCAGTGAGTGGTGTCCAAGACATAACTATTTAATAAGACCGCGCTCCGGTCACGTCACTATTGCAACCACCCCACGTGCTCCGCGCATCTGCACGTGCACTAGTCATCAGCACGTGCACTAGTCATCAGCACGTGCACTAGTCATCAGCACGTGCACTAGTCATCAGCACGTGCACTACTCGATGCTTCTCTTATCATTAGTCCATTTAGTATCGATTAGTTCAGTAACTCGTGCCTCTCATCCTTTTTTCTAAATATGAAGATATGTATCAAGACTCAGGACAATATCTGATATAAGGGAGGTAAATGCCATGGTAACCAATGGTTAGGGTTGCTAAACAGCCTTTAATATCCCGCGGACAGTCCGAGAAAGGGTAAGGTTCTGTATCATGGGGCCGGACTATAACTAGTAGCCAGATCAACTTAACAAGAACAATATCTTAATAGCAAAAAGATAAGTGAGTCATTACTCTACGTGACAGTCTGGTAGTCTGGTAGTCCCCCTCCTCCCTCTCCCGTTTAGTGCTTGATACCATAATTTTGGTTAAAACTGGTATCAGGATATTAGTTTAGTTTAAGTAGCTTTGGATTAGTTATAATATCGGGATTTAAGTCAAAGGTTCCATCATTTTAAGGACGTATTCAATAAACAAATAAAAGCTCTGCAAAAAAGGAGGATGGAGCACTACAGGTTTTGTAAATTGACATTAATTCATCTTTTACTTACTTTTGGTCATATTTATCAAATATCATAGTTTTATTTCGTTTGTTTATCACTAAGTTTCCTAAATACATGTATGATTCAGATTATTGATGCCACATCTTCCTATCTAGTTCTTCTCACTCTTCACTAATTCTTATTTCTTGTTAATGTCCCTTTATATCCTGTGTGCTAATATCGATTAAGATGACTGCTAATTTGATAGCTATCATTTATAGATGTTTTGTTAATATTACCACATTATAGATACTGTGCTTTAGCTCTTCTCGGCTGTGTTGACGGAAAAGAAAGAATTTAATTAAATCGTCACCACCGACTGCCCTCTTATTTGTTCAACAATATCTATTGTCTACAGTAGACAATATTCATACATGTTTGCAAGGATACACACACAACACGGATAATATCCAGACTTATCTTTCTATACTCGTTAGTAAAGTATCGCCAAATAACCGATTTGGGAAAGACTTAGTCTCACTTATAAAAACTACGTGCACTTCAACACCGGTCGGTACACTAAACGTCAATTATAGGGGGACCTGTTACACACCCCCACCAAGCTTGTTAGTCATGATCCGTTCCAGGGACGGGAACATGCTCTGATCTGCGGAGAAACAACATGCTCTGCACAAAACCAACTGGCCCTTGTTGTACAGTTCTTGTCATGATTCCAACCAACTGCCAGTCCCTTGTTGTGCAGTTCTTGTCATGATTCCAACCAACTGCCAGTCCCTTGTTGTGCAGTTCTAGTCATGATTCCAACCAACTGCCAGTCCCTTGTTGTGCAGTTCTAGTCATGATTCCAACCAACTGCCAGTCCCTTGTTGTGCAGTTCTAGTCATGATTCCAACCAACTGCCAGTCCCTTGTTGTGCAGTTCTAGTCATGATTCCAACCAACTGCCAGTCCCTTGTTGTGCAGTTCTAGTCATGATTCCAACCAACAGCCAGTCCCTTGTTGTGCAGTTCTAGTCATGATTCCAACCAACCTACTGGCATGCCAGTCCCTAGTTGTGCATTTCTAGTCATGATTCCAACCAACTGGCAGTCCCTTGTTGTACAGTATTTGTCATGATTCCAACTCCTCTTTTTTTACCAGCATTTATATTCAGTCAGGGTGCAACGCCAAAACCAGCATCCGGTAGTAGCTGATCTTTCGTTAAATATAAACCCTCTCATCAACCACAGCCATCATTATACTTGCTCACTTGAAGGTGGTCTGGTACGTGATTGTGGAAGTTTGCGTATCTCCGGGGATATGCCGCGGTGGTGGAGATCAGTATCACCAGATGTTAGGTTCGTTATATTTTATACAGTATTTGATGGGTGTTGCGGAGTCTAGGGTTTATATGTCTTGGTTTAATTGGATACATTAGTCTCCACTTTGCTACACCATCTCGTCTTTTGCTGTATCCGTGAATATATGTTGCTTGTGGACCACAAGTTGTGGTCGATTGAATAGAAAGGCTGTTCCTGATGCCAAAAACTTGGTCGTAGCCTTCCCATTAACAGTGATTTTAAGATTGGATCTTTAACAATACTACAAATCTATAATTATAATTAGCAAGAAAGGTCTAATGGGCTTCCAAAGATAACGCATCTCGTTTTGAGAGGGCAACCTCTGAAATGGTTGTTTGTGAAATAGTTCGATATATTTTGTCTATATTCGGTCGTCTCATGTTTCCTTAATCCATAAATATTGCTGAAACATTTTCAAAATGGTAAGATTCATTACTGCCCCATATTATCATGTTGTGCCTTAGGGGCTAGGGCTTAGCCAGAATAATTCCTAGTCCACGTGGCTTTTCCTCCACGCGAAGGGATGAAAGTATGAAACGCGGCCAAACACGTGCAATACCATCTGATAATATGGTTTAAATTGAAACTTTCATCGCATATTGAACGAAAAAATAGCACAGGAACATAATAGAATCGTAGCTCAAAGCATGTTTAGCTGTTTATGCCGCTGATATGCTTAGTTTGGTTGGAGTCACGTTTGAATTACAAATTACTAATAATGAGGTCAAAGTCTTCCTTTTCCACAATAGTTCCTTTGTCTACGTCTTCTATTTAATGCAGCTATAAAATAGTCAATAGGATTGTCGCAATAGTTTCTATGTCATAATTATATTATTGTGTTCTAAATTCACAGCACTTCACTTAAATTCCAATATTATGTTTTCGACGTAAGCATAGATTTAAATATAATTTTCAGAATTAAACGCCGCACTATTGTTCCAGTGAGTAACAGGTTAAGTGGTCGTTCAGATATTTTACAAATAAAGAAACTAGTCTATACTAGATTTAGACTTTTTTAAAATCTCAACACTTATTTTACTTCGGACATTCCAACAGCCACATTGTTACACAAGTGTGTAACCAGGCAATTACAGGAAGCCGAAGGATTCAATTATACATTAGGCCAGTGACGGTTAAGGTAGTGTGTACCATACTTTCTTCGCCCGAGACTTTGCTGCAATGAGCAGCTCCTCATTTAACCCTCACACCCGATTTCTCGAGTATTTGGCTGAGTGGACCGGGGGGCTGCATAGACCAGTCAGGATCCTTAGCTGAGCGTCGACGACGCTCACCCCACGGCTAGTGACAGAGTTGGGAATCGAACCTGGTACCTCAAGCAATGCCAGGCGGATTAACCAACTGAGCCACTAAGCCGTTTATAGTTAGTTGTCTAAATCAAATAGTTAGTTGTCTAAATCAAATAGCGGGGGGGGGGGGGGGGGGGCCAATGGCATAAAATGGCATAAAATGGCATAAAATGGCATAAAATGGAGACTTTTTCTATGGAGAAAATGGAAAAACCCATGAGTAATTCTCCATTTTCTCCATTTTATGCCATGAATTTTGTCTTCGAAATTTCATCTTTAACACCATTTAACACCTAAATTGGATATGCTAACATGTTTATTTACGCTTACTAGGGGCGTAACAAGCTTATGAAAGCTCATAGTAGGCTACTAGATGCTTATACTAGGTTAGTAGAGGCACACTTCAGGCAAACTCATAATTACTCAAGCCTAGTGTAAAGTTATTTCTACAGGGTACAGCAGGAGTGAGTAATAGGGGAGAGTAATAGGCACTGAGAAGTGAGACCTACATCCTCGACAGTCGAAACAAGCTCGCACTGCAAAGGGGAGGCCTGCCTTCCGAGATCGCATTACCAGGGGGAAGCCTCGAGTCCAAATTTGTGTATCGAGGGGTAGGTGCAGACTTCGATAAACCGAAAAACCAAAAAGATATTTTCGGCTTATAATGAAGAGGGTAGCATGAAACGTGGAGAAAAGTGGTTTTTAGAAAAACTTTGAAAAATTTTGACTTAACAAATTTTCGGCCCGAGTCATTCTCGATACGTACCTCTCGTATCGAGAGCTCCCGATTCCGAGCTTGTGTTGCAAAGGGGAGGCCTGCCTTCCGAGATCGCATTACCAGGGGGAAGCCTCGAGTCCAAAATTGTAATTTCTAAGTCAAAATTTTTCAAAGTTTTTCTGAAAAACACTTTTCTCCACGTTTCATGCTACCTTGTTCATTTTAAGCCGAAAATATTTTTTCGGTCAAAATTTTTTCTGAAAACCGCTTTTCTCCACGTTTCATGCTACTCTGTTCATTATTTTCCGAAAATATTTTTTCGGTTTTTCGAAGTCCACACCTTCCCCTCGATACACAATTTTGGACTCGAGGTAATGCGATCTCGGAAGGCAGGCCTCCCCTTTGCAACACGAGCTCGGAATCGGGAGCTCTCGATACGGGAGGTACGTATCGAAAATGACTCGGACCGAACATTTTCTAAGTCAGCATTTTTCAAATTTTTTCTGAAAACCGCTTTTCTCCACGTTTCATGCTACCCTGTTCATTATTTGCCGCAAATATTTTTTCGGTTTTTCGAAGTCCAGATCACCTTCCCCTCGATACACAATTTTGGACTCGAGGTAATGCGATCTCGGAAGGCAGGCCTCCC